TGACCAAGTTGGGATTGGTTTAAGTTTTGCATTTGATTGGTTGAGATGATGGCGCGAGATGATGGCGGGAAAACGCGTTGACCAAGCTGGATTGGTTTAAGTTTTGCATCTGATTGGTTGAGATGATGGCGCGAGTTTTCTGGACCAATCACAGACCGCAGTCAAGCAAAAACAAAGCAAAATGTCTCTACCAGGTTACTCAAACATTTGTAAGCGGTGGTTACTTTGATCAACAACAACAATTCGCCCAGTACTAAGAATAGCTATTGCATTTGGAGACCGGATTTCTCCTAAACCGTTACCTTTTGTTCCAAATTTGCCCACAAAAGTTCCATCCGGTTCAAATAATTGTATTCTATTATTATTTGTATCACAAACTATTATGTGTCCTGATCTGTTCACTGTCATACATCCTGGACCATTAAACTCCCCGTCTCCAGTACCCTTCTTTCCAAACTTGTACTGAAAGTTTCCATTCCTGTCAAAAACTTTGATGCAATGTTCACCACTGTCTGATACAAAGAAAAATCTGCCACTTTGAACACAATGGACAGGATGACTAAATGAGCCCTGCCCACCTATTTTCATTAGAAACTTCCCAGCTGGCGAAAAGATTATGATTAGTTTGTTACCCGCGTCAGCGACAAGGATGTTCCCCTCACCGTCTACGGATAAACCCCACGGAATAAGGAACTGACGATCGACAGAGCTTCCTTTCCCTGGGATACTTGCCATGAACTCACCCTCCCTATTAAAAATCTGAACCCTATAGTTGTTGTTGTCTGATACCAAAAGGTTACCGTTATTATCAAAAGCTATTCCCATTGGGCTATAAAATTCTCCTGCTTTGTTGCCTTTCTTTCCAAAAGATCTTAAATGATAGCCATCGCTGTTATAGAGTTGAACTCTATTATTTTCACAATCAGTTACGGCCATCTCGTTGCGGGCATTAACTGCTACCCCCCAGGGAAACTTAAACGTTCCTTTAGATGAACCTTTGTTGCCAAAAGATAAAACAGCTTTTAATTGAAATGGTTTTACCTGCACATCAAATGGACTGCCACACACATGTTCCCCATTTACCTTTACTATTACTTTGCATATGCCTTGGAAATTGGATGAATAACTGATCTGATAGAGTCCATTCTTATTGTCATTCATTCGTACTTCTGTAGCGCACTGTCGTTCTTGTTCGTCCAAGATCTCCACCGTTACATGGTCATTTTCATTGTAGCACTGTCCGCCTTCAACGTTTTTGGTAGTCAATGTAAAATGCGCTTCACGGTTAACAATTGCTTCTCCAAGTCCTTTTCCTTCAGCGACAGAGTGAAATGCTTTTGTTTGGAGTTTCATTAACAAAGTTCCAATTTCTTCGGTGTTTACCGTGGACAAAAACTTTGGATTCTCTGCAAAAACTATGGCAGGAACTTTTTCCGGGTCAAGGTCCACTGGCTGACTTTGAATAACTGCTTGAAATATTGTCTCTATTGGTTTCTTCAGTTGAACGATCTCGGCGTTTGAACTTCGTATTAATAGTTTATCAGCTTTTTCCAGCGATGATTCGAGTATTTTAATTTGACGCTCTACCTCTGTCTTTTGCGTTGTAAGATTTTCCAGTACATTCTTCGTTTCATTCTCTAAAGCTGCAAAAATGTTTTGCTTCTTCGCTTCAATGGTTGCAATCAACTTGTTCACAAGTCCTTGAACACTTTCCTTCATATCATCGCGTTGTCTTACCAGCTGAGCGTAGTATTCATCAAGTTGACCGAGAGAGTTCATCTTTTTTTGCAGGTTGCGTCTTTGGACGTCAAGAAATGATTTAGTTTCAATCTTTTGTCTTTCAGCTTTTTCTTCGATGTGTTCTAGAGTGTGACCACTATGACTCATCGTGGCGCAGGTTTGACAAACAGGCGATTCGCATTTATTGCAAAAGTATTTCAGTTCTTCTTTCTCATGTCGCGGCTTCGAGCAGTACAACGGGCGTTTTAACACATCCTCGAAGTCTTTGTACTGAAATTCTTTTAGCGCCATAACACGATGATCTTTGTTGCTCTTCATAATGTTATGCCCAATGACACATTCTTCACACCAAAATACGCAACATTGGAAACAGTAAGAACTTTCACAGCTCTTCTTTTCGCAATTTTCACATCGCACCTGGCTACTTTCGCACTCTTTTATGGCCAGCACATCGATCAAACCGTTTAGATAAAAACTGGTCGGAAGATCTCTCAGATCGCCACTTTCAGGCACTCTGCTAACGACTTGACATTTCGGGCATCTTATCGTCTCATGGCCATGGCTTAACCTGTGCCACTGTTTCAAGCATAGCAGACAGAAACTGTGAAGACATGGAAGGTGTTTTGGTTCCGTGTAGATGTTAGTACACACTGGACAAGACACTTCTTCTCGAAGATTATCTAGC